TTGGGTGTGATTTTCCCTTTAATTTATGATTTTATCATATTGATTTGTCTATTTTTAATGTTTTTATTTAAAGGAGGAAAAAAATAAGTAAAAAAGTTTTAAACTCACAAGCCAGCCTTAAACTCATAGTTAGCTTAAATGCTTGTCATTTTATATCGACAAGAACTCGAGGTGAAATTGAACTTTCAAGCTTGTCCCTTTAAAGTTTGAACTCATCAAAAGTTAGGCTTTTAGAGTCGTGTTAGCATGTTTTTTCAACTCTATCAGATGTCATCTTTTCTAAAAAGGCCAAAAAGATTCGTGTGAAATAAGATTTAGACATGCAAGGGTTGAAGTTTGATTGCTTGCGGCTGCAACGCATATGGTTATGCGACCACGCGTGCAATTTTATCTTGCTGTTTTCCCCCCACTGTTTACTATTTTTGTGAGAAATGCCCATGGAGATCAAATATTCTGCTTGATTTATTCCCTTAACATGGAAGTTAAAGAAGCGAGCAATCCTTATGACGTTAATCTGGCAATCCCGAGGTCTAAATCAAAGGGACAATGGTCATGTCTCGCATTGTCTGCAACTCTGCATTACTTGGATTGTCATATTACAGGGCAATGATGCATTCTTCAGAATAATACTCCATCGTTGTTATCTTAAGTCCTCTTTTAAGTTGGTTTATAAAAAGCAGCTCCCCCGCTAATTGTACGGGTCAATACATTTGCCTTGTGAGATGGGCCGCACCCTACAAAAAGTTGGCCCATTGTTCTAACGGGCCAAGTTTTGGTTAGGCTAAGATTAATAGATCAGTACATTTGCGTTGTAATACAGAATTGAAAGGAATCACAATGGTTTATACCAACAAAAACCAAAAAAAATAAAAAAGCAAAAGAAAGGAATCACGAAAGACGAAGGTCGTAATGCAGAAATGAATTAAAAGCAGACGAAGGGGGGGGGGGGGGAGGGAATGCACATAATGACGGAAGGTTCTTTGACTATTGAAACACGAGCGGCGTGGACACCTCGATTGACGATAAACGGGAACACCTTCAACGTTAACGGCGTAGTATTATACCGTTTACCAACACATAAAAGGCTTCAACGTGATTCAACCACCAAAACCATAACCACATGGCTTTAAATCATTATCTCTAACTCTCCATATCATATATAGACCCTCTCTTCGAGGCTCCCTCTAACCTAAATCTCAATCTCAATCAATGAACACCTTTATTTGATTCTTCATGTTCTTTTGTTTGCTTTCTTAATTAAAGGGCAGAGACTGTACTACACATTAATCAATAACCTACTCAACATACATCCATTTCCATCTTCATCTTGACTATTTCAAACTTTACAAATGAATTTCTGCTGAAACTGTAACACTCCAGAAGCCGCAGCAAGCAAGCCTCTCTCATTTCACTGTCATCATGTGGTCCAAAAATCACTCTGAGCTGCCACACTGACATTCAATTTTCCAGATTAAGGGATCCAGAATGATTACTATCAGCCCTGTGTTCAATGTGTATCATCGGTCACCCAAAAACAGAATCTACATCTTACATGACTCATGACGTTGCCTGGCTAGAATTAAAAAAAAAGGACTGTAGCTATTCCTCTTTATCGCAATTGGTGCGTGGGACGCTGCTGAGTGCGAACACACTAAACCTTACGAGCTATGGTAGTGTATAAAAACATTAGCTAGGAATGCATTAATTTGCTATGTTGCACTAACTAGCTAATTAACAAGAGGGACCTGTATGGCCCCTCCCCACCCAATTATTTGTGGCTCACAATGGTTAGTTCTGTCCCTTTTGTCTACCTTCGCCCCATAGCCTTTCAAAATCTATAATTATTTCAGAAAATAAATGAGACTCGTTATGCCTCATCATATTATTCCAATCATTCATGCCCACTCTTCTCACCGGTACTTTTGTGCTCGTCGATCTCCTACTCACACATAACGGTATACAGTACGTGGTGGCTAATAAAAGCGAAAATAAAATCGACGATGGGTAGGTATGCAGATATAACGTTACTACCCGAAAGTGCATGCAATATTTGACTCAACTTTATTACTTTACTCGTATAATGACTGCAGGCCAGGTTTACCTTAAAGGGCGTGAATATATTCAACTTAATGGTATATGGAGATTGAGGAAATGATTGACTCTTATCCTCTGATTAAGGCAGAGATTTATGAAAAGGGAAACAAAGGACAGAGAATATGGCTTTGATGTGAAACGACGAGCAGGGCTGCATGTGCTGAAGAGAAAAACGATTTGGCTGAGAGAGACTGAGACCAATGGCAGGGGAAAAATGAAGAGTTGATGTGTGCTTGATTATATGGAGGTTGTTCAGTAATTGTCACAAACCACGTAACGTAATGGGATCCAAACCCTACACTCTTGTTCGGCCAGAGCCAGCTAATATGGCTGTGCCTTTATTTGAACCCTACACTAATTAACATCTTAACAAAGACCTTCACGTTGGATTTTGCCCCGCAAATTAACTTTTTGTATCCGAGTTGGCCTTTCTTTCATCTTCCAACCCTCACTGACATTGAGTGGCTGCCAATTGGTCACGACCCAAAACGACATCCCGTATCGTTAAGAGGAGAATCAGAATCCACAAACGTCACAACGTGTCGACATACTAACTGTTGCTCTCAAGTCAGCTGATTGAACCAAAGTTGCAGCCAATTAAATAGGGACACGTGTCAGCATCGTGGCTCCCTAGTGCCGTGTCAGCACGGCGAACGGGAATGCTTCTGGGAAGAAAAGCAAAGACAAGAGGGCTGGACCTACAAAAGCTATTGCCAGTTTGATTTTGGAGATCGGAGCATGTGCCTCGGTCCTGAGGACTGGAGCCTTATTTATTGTTTCACTTTATTAAAATTAAAAAAAGAGCATAATAAATGAGATTGAAAAATAATTATGAACATCCTTTTCGTGGCATTTGCAGTGCGTGGTCGTTGGCAAGGCTTGTTTTTCATTTTATCCTCATAATTTAATCCAAATCACTGTTCATCGTCGAATTTAGTACAATTGATAAATTAAATATTCATAAGAAACGGCCATTAGAGGCGTAATCCCCTCAATGTTAGATATTGCTACTGTATTTAATTACAAGTCCACGTTTAGCACACGCTACTTAATTATCGAAGAACTAGCTAGCAAGAGACATGTTCGCAACTAGTTTTTTTTATTTTCCCTTTTAATTACTAGATAAATATGGAGGAGAATGTAGTTGATAGGGAAAGATCAGATGCTATTTTTTTAAGCGTCGGCAGAAAATTCACGAGATGCTGTTGAAGTGAAACGATGTAGAATATTGACGCATAAAAATGATGGTGAAACATGGGATGGGTTCTCGGTATAATGAAAATACTGCATGCCATGCATACTAATGTTGGCCTGTGCATGAAACTTGGGGTTTGATTTATATAATTCATGGCTTGTTTCGATACAGATGAAATGGCGATGATTAAACCCAAAGGTTTTCACTTGAGATAGAAGCAAGGCAAAAGAGTGCAGGGGACCCATGGAATCCATATAATGTGATTGAGCTAGCGGGTAATAAGCTGGAGAGGAATTTCCCGTTATGTCTTATTTCCATGCGTCCCTCTCACCGTGTCAATTTTAGATTCCTACAATCGCTAATTTATAATTAAAGTGAAAAGTGCCTTTTATTGTCCTTTTTATTCCCTTGATGAACTAATCTCCCTACATAAAACCAAAGTGCATATATATAATAAGTGTTTTGGACAGTAATAAACCCGTGATTAACCAATAACATGATAATAAAAACAAATTGCGTTAAACCCCACTGACCTACTACTTCACCTTGACATAAAAGACCGTTAGTGTCGGTGCGCGTTTTTACTTCTGCGTCTTCTATATATGGCTACTACACATTGTTTTCTTCCCACCTCTTATACACGCATATAATATTTGCAACGTATTCAATATATTTTAATGCATTGCTTTAATTAACCCATAGCCATTGGTAATGGTCACTGACGACTATTGATCTCATGTATTCAATGTAAGAGGTCTGACTCGTGCCAATTAGGGTTAGCTTATTTGGTATAATTTCGTTCCTAATCTCTCCTTCCAATTAACGATTTTCTATAATGCATTAACTACTAAAACTATTTTTTCCCAAGACAGCTCTTGGATGAAAGCAAGTGATGGACCCATGAGAGCAAAAAAGTCAAAGTCTTCTAAAGCTTACAGTGTTTCTCACTCGACCGTTTTCGTACCTAGAGAAGTGGACAGGTAGTACTGTTGTTGAGCAAGGGTTTCACACTTGCTAGTAGTGTTCACTCTCGATGCAATTAATTGAATTCAACAAATTATAAGCGCACATCTCGCAATAAGCGATACCCTTCTTGCTTTTAATGTTCCCTAATACCATTGTGGTCGGGGAAGAATAAAGTAGGAAATTTTGTGGAATACGCGCGTGTCCGTTTCTAATACTTAGACCCATTGATTGTGCCCCCCGCATGCTTATTTTCTATCATTATATATATTTTCAACTTGCCTTCTTCATTAATTCAGTTGGTAATACCTAATTAACTGCCCTCGCTAGGACCAATCATATAACCCGCCACCTTGCCAAGCCAGCGCTTGCATTCTTTTACTGTACAAATTAAAGGTTATATATATATACACATATATAATATAATATAATTAACAATTCTACCAAATATATATATATATATATATAGTCAACATTACTTAGATGCCATCGGCAAGAAGGAAATGTGTATTTGTTATATCAGACTTTTCTCTATGTATACCATTTTTCCTTCTATAGTGCGGTGTATTTGAAAATATGATCTCCCACCATTATTCAGGGCTTGCTTAACAGCCGAATCTACCGAATTAGGTATCCCGTAAAACCAGTAATCACGAAACAGGTGGATCCCATGTGTTTGAGTTTAATCGCGCCATTTAACCCGGCTTTACTTTAGTTTCTTTATATACTCCCCTCATTCTCACACACAAACTCGTCCTTCCCCATTCGCTCTCCAAGCAAAGAAGAGCAAGAGCTGATAAAAACATGATAACGTCTTCCCTCTCTCTGCTCTTCTTGCTCTCCTTTCTTCTCTCCATAACCCTCATTTCCTCCAGACCCCTCCAAGACCCAGAGTTGGTAGTACAAGAAGTGAACAGGTAAGAAGAAGCACGTTCACTGTCTAACGTGCCACATTCTAGGCATTTCAACTGGCTAGTTCGTACATATATAAAAGAGAATTTGTTGTATTTCTGTGCAGGAAGATCAATGCTTCCACGGCTCGGAGGAACTTGGGGTACCTCTCGTGTGGTACAGGTAACCCCATTGACGATTGCTGGAGATGTGACCCCGACTGGGAGAATAACAGGCAGAGGCTGGCCGATTGTGCTATTGGGTTCGGGAAGAATGCTGTCGGGGGTAAGGGTGGTCAGATTTACGTGGTAACGGACTCCGGCGACGACGACCCCGTCAACCCGAAGCCGGGGACACTCCGGTACGGCGCGATCCAAGACGAGCCGTTGTGGATCACATTCGCGAGGGACATGGTGATACAGCTGAAAGAAGAGCTTATAATGAACTCGTTCAAGACCATCGACGGTAGAGGCGCGATCGTGCATATTGCGGGCGGTCCGTGCATTACAATCCAGTACGTGACCAACATTATAATCCACGGGATTCACATCCATGACTGCAAGCAGGGCGGGAACGCCATGGTGAGGGACTCCCCAAAGCACTACGGGTGGAGAACAGTATCGGACGGTGACGGGGTGTCCATCTTCGGAGGGAGCCACGTGTGGGTGGACCATTGCTCCCTGTCGAATTGCAACGACGGGTTGATCGATGCGATTCATGGGTCCACCGCGATCACCATCTCCAACAATTACATGACTCACCATGACAAGGTCATGTTATTGGGTCACAGTGACTCCTACACGGAAGACAAGAACATGCAGGTCACCATAGCCTTTAATCACTTCGGAGAAGGGCTCGTTCAAAGAATGCCAAGGTGAAGTCAAAAGTCAAAAAGCAATAGATTTGTCAATGTGGAGTACAATCATAATTAATCAGGCATTAATGGCGTGACATTTGGATATGCAGATGCAGGCATGGATATTTCCATGTGGTGAACAATGACTACACCCATTGGGAAATGTACGCCATTGGTGGAAGTGCTAACCCAACCATCAACAGCCAGGGCAACAGATTTGCAGCACCCGATGATAGATTCAGCAAAGAGGTTTGTGTTTTGAATTCTGTGACGCATTTTATTAAATTAGAAAAGGGACATGATTAGTTAACTAATTAGGTGAAATGTTGAAATGTGCAGGTGACGAAGCACGAGGATGCGGAAGAGAGCGAGTGGAAGAACTGGAACTGGAGGTCGGAAGGGGACTTGATGGTAAACGGTGCGTTTTTCACGGCGTCGGGAGCTGGAGCGTCGTCAAGCTATGCGAGGGCGTCGAGTTTGAGTGCGAGGCCCTCTTCGCTGGTGGGTTCGATAACCGGAGGTGCCGGTACCCTTGACTGTAGAAAAGGCTCTCGTTGCTGATCATGATTTTGGCCGCTCCAGTAACTGCCGGTCTATTAATTCCAAAAAGGAAAAAGTAGGGGAGAGGTTTTATTTAAGTGAGAAAAGGAGAAGGGAAGTGAGATAAGAAAGGGAGAGAAGAAAGAAAGAAGGAAAGAAAAAGGTCTGGTGTATGTCTCTCAGTTACTTTCCTTCCTTCCTTTCTGTTTTTGTTGTTTTCCCATTGTTAGTCTTTCTAATTTGCTCCAAGCACCGTGAAATCCAACCTCGGCCTGTGACTCTCTTAGATCCACAAAAAGTTGTTGGAAATTATCAAGGGTCTAAGAGAGAACAAGTGCAGAAGAGTTGATTTATTTATAATATACCAAAATTACTTATGCGCAAGTTCCTCTCGACACAATGACTCTCTCCCTCTCTCTCTGCAACCGACACACTGCCACAGATTGTCGACAAACACCATATTCCCATAAATGAAGGAAGGGGGCAAGTTCAACAATGGTGAAAAAAGGAGAGAAAATATTGTAAAATCTTGAACTTACGAATCGGCCGAGTAAATGAGTTGGAGCAATCGAAAACGACAAACTGCCGAAATAACTGTTAACGAATGGGTTAAAAGGTCCTACAATCTGATACTTTAAAATATAAAATATTAAATATTTTTAATAAAATCTTATCTTAATAAAATAATTATTTATTTTTAAATTAATTACATATTTTTATATTTATTTCTATTAAACATCCTACAATAAATATAAAATTATTATTAATAAAAATATTTAAAAAAATAATAATTACACTTTAAAAATTAAAAATGTCTTATATTTTTAAATATTCAACTTCTCAAATAGAGAGAGTATTATTTATAAATCTCTCATAATATATTTCACTAATATTAAAGAAAAGTTTAAAATTTATTAATTTTATCTTAAAATTTAATAAATTTTTAATTTTATTCTTATTAAATATACATACTTTAATAATATATTTTCTCTCTCTAATATTTAATAAAAAATAAAAAAATTTATAATAAAAATTTAATATTGTAATTTATAGATTTATAAATAGAATAAAAAAAATTTTATTTTATAAATAAAATGGATTGTCCCACGAACATGGGAAATTTCTTATTTCATTTTGAAAAGGAGAATCACTAAGAGATGCATTATTGGAAACCGTCGCCAATTATATTTGATTTGGGATACTAATTTGCACTTGCGTAATGGATGGGATGGTAGTTGGGGGAAGAAAAAGTAGCATTAAAAATATAAAAAGAAAGGCGTTGAAGTCATTCGCAGTGGTTTGAAAAAGGGGTGTGGGGCAAGGGCTGTTAACATGAAAGTAGAGAGACAGGTAACATGCGGAACTGGGGAGATCAGCGTAGATCACGAGGGGGTCGAGAGAAAAAAGAGCAAGATACTCGAGAGTGAACAAACATGGAGCCACGAGCAATTGAGTGAGGGGAGGGGAACTGGGAGAGAATAAATGGGCATGGAAGTGGTGGGGCTGTGACCCTGAAGTGGATATCCTTTTGGTGCGACGCAATGGCGGAGGATGAAGGAGCAAGAATGTGGGTTCAAGCATTTCAGTTTCTGGAAGCCGAGGGCGAGATTCCATAGGGACATTAGAACCCAGAAGGAGCACATGCGTTCTGGGTTCATTTCAAAGCGAGCTCCCTGGACTTGCCACGTGGAGAGGAATGAATGTGAGGGGAACAAGGTTCCGCACTCGGCGCTGCACATGCGGGGCGTTCATACGTGATACAGTACTCAGTGTGTGTGCTGTGGAGAGTGCAGGTTTTCGGGCCCCACTGTCACCAGTTCTTTTTGAATTTGAGTCCCCCCCTGTAATTTCACGCCGCAATCACAGGCAGGGCAGGGCAAGCTTTTTTCTTTCCTTTTCTTTTTTCTTTTTCCTTTTGCCGGAATCCTGAGTTATTGTTAAAAATGAAAAGAACTGAAGACGGCCAAGGAAACATAAATTAGAAAAATGGTATATAAAAATATTCTAAATCTAATACAAAACAACCCGAAGGAATAAAAGAAACAGTCGGAATATAGGAAGAGATAAGCTTCATGCTTGATTTGGACGGAGAAAAAATGGAAGAAAATAATACAAAAGAAAACTAATTTTTAAAAGTAAATTTTTAATTATTTATTACAAAATTTATTTTTAGTTTTCTCACTCTCTATTTTTCTTCCTATCTAAAACAATATACCGTGAAATTTCTAAAACATTATACAAAATATATTTTTAGTTCTATAATTTTATATAAAATTTTAATTTAATTTTTTAATTTTATAAAATATTTTTTAATTCTTCAGCTCTAACATCGTTAGTTTTAAATAATTATTCTTTGTATCAATTATTATTATTTAAAAAAATTAAATTTAATAAGTCAATATTTAATAATATTTTATTAATATTTAAAAGGTTTAATATAAAAAAATTAATTGAAATAAAACTACCAATGTTAAAGTTAAAAAATTAAAAAAATATTTTATAAAATTAAAAAATTAAATGTGTGCTTTGGTCTTGTAATCCCACCCCACCAAACCAAATAACTATGGACCTTACCTCTGCTTCATCAACCTTTTGTTTGCCGTGCAAGATGCCCTGTTCCCACCAGCCATCCTAATTTAAATATTTAATATTTTATAACTAGTTTTAGTGTTCATTATATAAATGAACACTTAGAAATTCATTACTTATATTAATTTAAATTTAATTTGAATGATCCAATTTTATATTTTTAATTTTATTTTGTAAATAAATTATTTTAATGGATACATAATTTAAAATGAAGATAATTTTTTAACTGTTAATTTTTCAAAAAATAATTTTTATTTAAAAAACACTAATTGAAAAGTTGTAAATCTGAATCATCTAAATTAAATCTAAACAATTTAGATGTGATGAGCTCCAATGTTTATTTGCACGAGGAGCACTAAAACTGATTTTCTAGTACTCTTGCCTTGTTTTATAAAATATTCTCTTGAAGTGATTCCATGTTCTATAAGTCATATAAGATGTTTTGAAAAAATAATTCAATAATAACATTTGTTCTGGAATTGCCTGTCTAAAGTTTTATAAAAAAACATTTTATAAAGTAACGCGGAGGGGGTGGTAAAATTAAGTGATGCGCATGTTGTTGTGGATGCAGGTGTTTTCTTTTTTTTTTTTTTAACGTTTTTCACTAATTAAACGGTTTTCGAAGGCTTTGCAATCTACAATTCACACCCCGTGCTAAGAATTTGATTTAGGGAACAAGAAAATATGAGTTCGAGGTCCAAGTTTTTTATTATTCAAACTAATGTCTTTCTTCTTCTCTCAGATTTTTGCTTCCTTGATTTCTAATTTTAAGAAATTTGATTATCAGTCTGTACCTTGCTAAGAGTCTGGAATGATTTAAAGATATCTGGATAAGTAATAACTTTGCATAACTTTATACCCGCTGAATTTCAAATTATCAGATAATTTGAGATAAAACTATGCATATCAATAAAATATAATAATGACACTTTATAAATCTAATTTTTCAAATCAATAAATTATCAGACAATTTGAGATAAAACTATGCATATCAATAAACTATGCATATCAGATAATTTCAAATACGGGCCGTTTGGGCCTCCTGCGTGATTTGCCACGGGTCACTCCGGAAAAAGCCACGCTTTAATGCTTTATGCTGGTAAAAAAAAAAAAAAAGCTCGATGCCCACTATGTTAGCACGAAATCGCGCTCGTGGTTGTGGTGGCCCAAAAGAAAACTAGGAAAGAGAAGTTTTCTTCATTTTTTGGGTGTGCAGGGAAGAAAGAAGTGTAAAAAAGAATTGAGAACATGTTTGGTTGGCTCAGCTAAAGGGAGAAAACAGGTGAATACGACATAGAGAATAATGCACAAAAGAATAAATAAAAAATTGAATTAAATTGATGTACTAATTATATTGTGATTAGAATTATTCAATAATAAAAAAAAGATATATTCGTTAATAACTCAGGAGACAAAGATGGGTGTATTCTGTTAGAGCAGACGAGGCGGTAGAGCAGAGCTTAGGAGCTGTGGAGCTGAGGGTGTCCTTTGTGTGAAGGTCATGAAAAGATGGGGTGAGTTGTGGACTAGTGATGCAAGCCAAGGTTGGTATTTGGATGCATTTGGGCAGCAAGGCCATGTGTGAGTGAAAGGGGAAAAAAGAAAAAAGAGAAATGCAAGACGCAAATAAGTGATAGTAAGGCAAGGGGAGCTGGTAGATGTTAGGGAGAGTCATGCGTGACACAACAAAGGAGCAGGTGTGCCGCTCGTTTGCCCCACAGGCGGCAGGCCTCATAATGTGAGTCTGTCTGCTCCTAACCCTAAAAGTAAAACCCACACCGACCCCGTCCCCGTATGCCCCTCCCATCCCTCTCTCTCCTTATCATTATCATTCTTCCCACCTTTATTGACAAACGTGCACCATGGAAAATCGGAACCCCCATTCATCCAAATCACTGAAAATAGAAAAGCACCATCCAATTTCATTTACAATTCCAAATCCACCTAATGTAGTCTGTCAACCTAAGATTAATCAGGGATCAATTTACACAATGCACGCCCATGTTAGGGTTAGGCCCATTGAAAATGAGAGAAGATTAAATTAAATCTTATTTATAAAGCATTTATTTAATTTTTAATATTTCTTTTTATATTTTTATCCTTATTAAATGAGTTAAATAAAAATATCGGTAACAAAATTTAAGAATATTTATTAAAAGTAAAGGTGAAAACTTATTAAATTTTAAAACAAAGTTAATGAAATTTAATTTTTTTTAGTTCTGATAAAATATATTAAAAATAATTTATAAATAAAATGTGAGAGAGTATAATACAATTAAATATCTCGTGGTAAAATAATAATTGTTAATGTATTCAGTTGCCAATGAATATAATATTGTAATATTTAATTATATTGTGAGAAATTTAAATATAATTCTTTTGTAACTGTATCTATGAGGGGCAATACACAAATACCTGTGGAAGAGAATACGCAGGAGGAGTGATTGGGATAAGATCGAACGACAGCTCAGAAGGAGCTGCGTGGCCATTACGTGGCGTCCTCTGACGTGGAATGGATGATGGATCAGAACCTCCACGAACAAAGAGCGATTCCTGGCGTCTCCAAAGGCCGTTTTAAAATTTGAAGTACGCGGCTATTCCTATTCAACAAATTGTTGTTACAACGTGGCTATTACTATTTAACGAATTGGACTCGCCCTTCTCCGGCTCTCACGATTTCTCCTTGTCCTTCATCTCTTCCACGTCATATTTCCGTTTTTACTAAATAATTACTTATTGTCCCTGCCATCTCATTATTTACTTCATTCTCTTCCTATCCAATATCACTGCGTCTCCACGCGCCTCTCCCTCCGCTGCAGTCTCTCAATCCAAACATGTTTCACCCGCTCGCTCATCATTCCGACGCTTTCCAGAACAGAATCATTCTCCTCGCCTCGCAGCGCTTCCCTTGTCATCCCCTGCAATTCTGTTCAACCTCCGTATAATTAATTTACGACCTTGAATCGAATCTTTTCGATCTGGGATACAATATATGCTATTTGCTCCAAATTCACAATGTGTTTACTTTTATGTCACAGACCTTCTACTTAAGTTCCGATAGACCCATACATATTTTTCACTGGTTCATTCGTGGATCCAGTCGGACTAGTGCATTGTCCATTTTGTTTTTCTTTTTTTACCTTGTCATTATCCCTGGGCTTGACATCAGCTTGTATTTGACGTGACAGTTATATTGTCATACAAATTAACCTCTCGACGCAATGGAAATTGTGAAAAATCAAAAGGATAAATTCCTTCCTTCTTTTTTTTTTCCTCGTAACTTCCAGAAGGATAAAAAGTTAAATACACGTGCGTGCGTGCGTGCTCATTAAATTTTATGGAGGTATATTAGTTTAAGACAAGCCGCTCACCATTCGTAAGATGAATTCCACTATATAGAGAGAGAGAGAGAGAGAGAGTAAATGTGATATTTTGAAATTGTAAATAACATAAGTACATAATTTTACTGAATTCATTTAATTGTTGTATTCTATTTATTAAATTTTATATGCTGGCAACATTCATAAATTTTAAAAGCATGGATCTAACTTTTACTAATCAGTTTTAATTTTAAATGTATGTGTCAAAAATCAAAGTCAATTTTAGTAATAAAAAGAAAACAATACAATGCTGTTTACATAGACAATGTAGCTTCTTTTTAGGGACGTTTAGCTTGTATTCATTCTAATTGACTTAATTTTATCTCGATTTGAAAAACGAGCTAACCCATCTCTTAAGTTTGATTTTCTTAAAATACTTTATTTTTTTAAAACTTAACCCTTATATAAAGGACATAAGCTCAAGCTCGTAAGTCCTTATTTTTTTATTTTTTAAAAATTAAATTTTTTAATTATAATATTTCATATATTTTTAAAAAACATAAATTATAATATTTAAAAATTAAAAATAAATAATAAAAATTTTAATTTTAAAGTATAAACATATATTTTAAAGTTTAAATTTAATTTAGAAATTAAAAATATTATATTTTTTAAGGGAAAAACAAAAACAGGCCTAAAAGGGTCACCTAAGCCCTTTTTTCAGGATCTATCAGGATCGAGCCTGAAAGCCCAAATTTCTTAAAAAATTATTAATTTTTAAGTCCAAACCCTTATAAAAATAGGCTTAAACGAGCGACCCTCAGGCCCGACCTTTATTTTTCCACTGTACATGTCAGGACAGGTCTTGTCCCAACTCAAAAATGATCAGGACGGGATACAGGATTGCCCTCGAGACGTCCTGTCCCATCCCAAATATTATATATATATATAGACATATATATTATTTTTTAAAAAAAATATACATTAAATCTATTAATTATATTAATATAATTTATACTTATATTAATTATAATATCAATATTTGCTATTCTTATTTAAAACTAAAAGCTTTTATATTAAAAATTTTATTTATATAGGGCAAATAGTACATGTGAATATATTTCTTTACAATATATTAATTATATTAATATAATTTATTCTCATATCTATCTATTTAATAAATTTATTTATATCATATTTCTTGCTTTATTTTAGGAAGAGTCACTAGCTTAAATATTTCAACTAAAGAAAAGGAAAAATAACTGAATGTTGAGCTGAACTTATCTGTTGTTGTTACTATTATAGTCTGAAAATCACTTATAATTGTTATCATAATATGTTATGTTTCATGTGTACTTGACTTTAAGTTATATATTCATAAATGTGATTGATATAATTTAATAATTATTGTGATTTATATACTCATGTTATTTTAGTTTTGAACTTAATAAATTATATCATTTAAAATTTCAATTAATAAATACTATTATTTAAACTTTTCTTTCACATTATTTGCTTTATCAGGGTGGCAGGATATTTTAATCTTGTCATGGTTTTGTCTCGATTTGTAATGAGACATAGGATAAAAATTCAATTCCAATAATTTTTCAAAACGGGACATAGGACAGGAGTGTCCCACTCTTGTCCCGTGAACGCCCATAGTTCTTTTTAAGCCACAATCTCTTTTGATCTCATTTATAAGTTACTAATGTCAACCTCATCAATATCAATATAATAAAATTACGGAGAATAAAAGTAAGTAAAATTTGAAACATAAACATCAAGTAAAAAAGAAAGTATACAAATTATATAATATTATTTTTTATCTCTCTTTTTTATTTTTTAAGAATAGTTTAGAAATTTTAATTTAAAATAAAGTGATCTTATCAACTAGTGATTTATAAAATAAATTAAATTATACTTTTAAAAGGTGTTTAACATATAAGACCGAAGAGAGTATAAAGGATGTAGTTTACTTGCCAAATTTTATGATAAAAAAAACCCATGTTTAATTATCTCCAGCATAAAAAAATGTCTGGTTATCAATGCTCTTGCAGTCTAATAACATACAAGTTTTTTTTACAAGTAAGCGATTGTGAGTTATGTCTCGGGCGTATTTATAATTTTAAAAATATAATTTTAAATATTTATATTTTACTCACATTTTATTATTAATTTTTATATTTTTTTAATATTTTTAATTTATATATTTTTATTTTTTATCATTTTTAAATCCCTCTAAAGTCTTTATACTTTATTAATGGAAGGATATAAAATAATAAAATGTAAAAATATAAAAATTAAAAATATTAAAAAATTATAGTAATTAATATTAAAATATGAGTAAAATATAAGAATTTAAAATTATATTTTTTTTATAATTTTAAGTAGTTAGTGAATATCCTTCCAGATAAAAAAAGCACGCTTAATAAAAAAAAATGACGCAGGTGCTTAGCGCGTCAGGGCACGCTCGTGCATATTCACAATGACTTGTATGATGAACCTGAACTTTCCGCGTCATGGACGTCTTATAAATTCCCGATTATAGTCCGAGGAGCTGATGCCTTTGTTCGAGCTTGTGAGAAGCAGCCAACCTCACCCCTGTAACATAAACAATCCCCCCGCCCGCACCCCCCCCCCCCAAAAAAAAAAACAACAACAATGCCGCCGACCGATGTTCCTGGTATTCCTCCCATCGCCGGCATCGACTACCTGAGCAGCCAGGTCTTACCTGAACCCGATGTTTTTATTCACACTTCCAACGGCGCGCGCATTCCTGCGCACACAAGCATTCTGGTACTCCTCCCTCTTTGCCTTCAAATTAATTGAAGCTAGTCATCTTATTAAGATTCCTTGATATAATCAGGTTTTGAATCTAATCATCTAATTTGATTTTCGCTGATGGTCGTTTTTCGGTTCTAAACTGCGAAGGCTTCAGTATCGCCGGTTTTGGAGAATATCATAGATCAGCCACGCAGGCATCGGAGCTCCGAGAGGATCATTCCCATACACGGCGTTCCTTGCGACGCCGTCACCGCTTTTCTCGGCTTCCTTTATTGTTCCAGGTTGGTAACGACTACGGCGGTGATTGTCACTTGTTCACTTGGTCTCCTCGTTTTCCGCCGCGAAATAACGAACGGTGTGAAAAAATGACTGAGACACGCCTGAATGACCGATGCAGGTGCACGGACGAGCAGATGGAGAAGTACGGGATTCATCTGCTAGCATTGTCGCACGTGTATTTGGTGCCACAGCTGAAGCAGAGGTGCATCAAGGTGCTTTCCAAACGGTTAACGATTGAGAATGTGGTGGATCTGCTCCAACTCGCGAGACTCTGCGACGCGCCTGATCTTTGCATCAAGTGTATGAAGCTGCTCGCCAATCACTTCAAATCTGTGGAAGCAACAGAGGGCTGGAAATTCTTGCAGAAGTATGATCCCTGGCTCGAGCTCGACATCCTCAGATTCATGGACGAGGACGAATCGGTAAAATCCAAATTCCCGTCAGTTCAATTGAATTTATATGAATTATGATTTCATTCTGTGGAATTTCCATTTTCCAAATTAAAACGAGTCATACAGTGGGAATATTGGAACAGAGGAAGAAGAAATCGAGAAAGCAGAGGGAGGAGCAGAGGCTGTATGCAGAGCTGAGCGAGGCGATGGAGTGTCTGGAACACATATGCACGGAAGGGTGCACCGACGTTGGGCCTTACGGTGTGGAGCTCCGGGGAGAGAGGAAGCCGTGCAGCAAATTCGCCACGTGTCATGGCCTCCAGCAATTAATCAGACACTTCGCTACGTGCAGCAAGAGGGTGAACGGAGGGTGCTTACGCTGCAAGCGAATGTGGCAGCTCTTCCGACTCCATTCCTCCATTTGCCAGCAAACGGCCCATTCTTGCAAGGTTCCTCTCTGCAGGTATTTTTTATTAATTCAACGCACTATCGCAGATTCTCTCTCTTTGCTTTTTCATATTCTATTTATACTTATAATTTTGATTTCAAAAACATGGTAGAAGGGACCAAATAACAGAAAAAGAGAGCACGCCAAAAAATATTAATATTTTAGCACGAGTTTCTCTAATTTGAATTGGTTTTTTTCCCCTTTTGCTTCTTCTTATTTCCTTCCCCTTCTTTAAAGGCAGAAAGATAGGTTATTTTTTCTTTTTCTCTTGATTTTTTTTTGTTGGGGGGGTTGAGAGTAGGCTTAGAGGCCTCTAAATTAATCGATCAATAAAATATTATAGAGAAAAACATTTAAAGTATTTATTTTTAATTAACTTAAAACACATATATTTATTATAAATTATTTATTTTATAATGAATTCTTATTATTAATTAATATTATTAATATATTAAAATTTATATATTTTTATTTAATTAGATAAAAATATAAAAATAAGTATATAAGTCTTGCCCAATATCATATAACATGAGACTGGTCAAGGAACAATTGACACAGGAGTTGTGATTAAAATGGATCCAAAATCATTTAAAAAAAAAAATCTACCCATGACACGGAGGTTTTATATTTTGTTTCTCCATTCTCGGGGATTTGTTTTCTTGATTAGTTTATTTTCTGAGGTTTTCTCTACGCCAGAAAGTCAAATCTCGGTTCCCATTTTTCCCTATTAAAATATGATAGATCATCCCTGGGGAGCCCACTCTATTTTTGGCCAACCTCGATAGGCCAGTCCGCGTCGCTGATTTTGATTGGCCGCAACATAGAAAGCCAGTTAATTAGCCGGAGGAACACGACTGGGAATTAAATTACTCATTAATTTGGCACCATGCGTCGTTGTATTCGACAAGTCTTCACTATCGTTTTTCATGTGACAATTGAAGATCCTGGGCTGCAATATCAAGTCTCCAATTAAGCCTTGCATGTAAGTTTTTTTTTTAAAAGAAATTAATAGTTTTTTAATAAATCAATTTGAATATAAAGTAAACCGTTGATTACTTTCTTTTAAATTTATCCATTCATAATATTTTATAAGTATAATAAAATGTTATGAGAAAAAAAATATCTTTAGGATTCAATGAGGTAGTTAATGTATTCCTTAAATTCTCTTCGAAACACGGTTGCTCCGGTAGAGTTATATATATATATATACTCTCTTTATTTTTATATATGTAATGTTTTTTAAAAATTTATTTTATTTTTAAATATAAAGGATGTCATAATATTTTTAAATAATTTAATCTTTCTCTCAAAAAAGAAAAGGCATATTAATTATGTGTTTTACTTGTCACTGTTATGATATTAATTGATATTATTAAGGATAAAATTAAAAAATTACTGCAATTTAATGAGATTTTAATTAAATAATAAATTTTTATTGATATATGTAATTTTGGTTAAAAACACGAGTATATATTATTTTTATTTTGAATATTTGATGTTTTTGGGTTTTATAAATTCTTACTGTTGGTTAATTCGTTGCATTCTCTCCCTAATGCGGTTCTCATCAGACGCAGCTGTTGGCCTGTCATATAGTCTCCATAAATTTAACCTATCTGTTACTCTTAACTGTAATGGTCATCTTCACAGCCAGACTAGCTGGATAATATGTCCATTTGTCTCCTCCTCTCATTTCACGGGCCAATAAAAATGACGCAACTTAATATTATAGTACCCTCAACTTGGGCAGCGTGGGGGTGACAAACTTCTATCAGTGAAGGGTCGTTCATAAATTTAAAAGAAATGTGTCAGTATCTGTGATATTTGTTTCGTTTCTCTACGTCATCCAAAATAATGGCCACTTTTACCCAGCCATCATCTGCACAAGTGGGATATTTGACGAACACAATTGTTTTGCATATCACTGTATTGTTGGATTAATTTAAAGACTCGCTAACCAGTTGGAAGATTAATTTAATTAATCATGTTCTGATCCTTATACCAGGGATGAAAGTTAAAAATAATATATGTCATTGCCGATTCTTTAACTAGGACAAGATAAATATTTAGTTTTTGTGCTTTGTTTTTGAATTTTTGTACACGTCATATTGTTATTAAAAAGTTGAAGATTTAAATTAAAAATTGTACATAAATTTAGTCTTTATCTTAACATCACACGGAACTATTTCTTTTCTTAACGCACATTGGGTCCATTCTCGTGATTTCTTTCTTCCTTCCTCTTTTTGGGTAACATATCTTGTGATTTCTCTTCAGCACACAAGTTATGAATAACGTGTCCGTTTGGGAAACTTGACAGGGAAATGCAAATGAAAATGCAGCAAGAGAAAAAGAAAGATGATCCGAAGTGGAAACTACTCGCGAGAAAAGTGGCCTCTGCTAGAGTCATGTCCACACTTTCTTTGGCAAAGAGGAAGAGGGATGATGAAAGTAGAATAAGCATGAACAATTATGGCCTTAGAAGTTTCAAATTAAAATGAGAATTGTAAAATATAGTGCAGTTTATAGTGTTAGTGTCTTTCACTTTTTATTTCATTTCTGCAGAGTTTATGTGGTCTGATGTGTTCTTTGTAGAAGCAGCAGGTTTTTGAATAGAGCGATCCTGTTGTGCGTTCCTTTTTCCCTTTCCCTTTTCCTTTTTTTTTTGTAGAAAACCATAAATCAATTAATAGATTGTAATTGATGTAATTTGTTTGGTTTTTATGCTTATCGATCGACATAGTAACCAAGGCAGCCTTAAGACTTATATAGTTATATGTCCCCTTAAGGTTATTGCTAAACTAGAAAATTCATTCTCTCTTCGTCGACGTCTTCTTTTAATTCATCTCCCTTTTCACCGCGATGTGGAAACACTTCTTATTTAAAGAGGACATCATGACTGTGATGATTCTATCTTCAACATGGAGATATGGACTCGGATAGAGTTATTGAGAATGGAGGCAAACAATCAACCCTTTGAATGTGTATGGGTCAAATGTCTAGAAATAAAGGCAAGCATTGGGCAGCTTAGTTATACAATTGTCGCATTGCATGGGGCTTGTGTCTTTTTTGAGAGACCTACCAATTCCGCGCTGGAATTGCAACGATCAACTTCATTGTAATTTGATTTTATAATTTATACACACGCACGCACACGTGTGTGTGTAGAAAAGGGCTCACACACTAAATAAATTAGGACCCATTTGTTTATTGGAAAGGAAGTAACTAAAATGGATTAACTAAATAAACATAAAAATAGAATGATCAATACATAAAGGGGAGAAAATTAAAGCAAACTACATTTACAAGAAGAAAGGATAATTTAATTTATAAGGTTAAGAATTATAATTTATGAGTTTTGTGGTTGGTGTTATGATTCCAACATTAATTGTAACATATAATATTAAATTTTATCATGTTTATCGCAAGTAATTAGGTAATTTAGTTTATTTTTTTAATCATTTCATTATTATTATCTCCAGTAACGGTCCTTAAGGTGTTGCAAAAGGAACTCATATATATGACTTGTTTCGTGAGATTTTCAGAGATCTTGTCTACGGACAATCTAAAAAGTATTCAAGAGGCTACACCGGAAAAAGTGTCCAATCCATCACTGAGCACAAAGAAGGAGGTCCAATGTTGGCCAGAACGAGGAAGCATGGGCATCGGATTCCACTAATTAAGTAAAGCAGTTGAGAAATTATGAGTGTTTCATTCATGAGCATCAATTAGGGACACAACGTGCCTTAAAATATTTTCTTTTGCCTAATGCCTGGCCTCGATGTGTTTATTTTTTATTGATGGAGTCCAGCATCAACTTGGCTGCTTGTCTGATCAGTTTTTGAGTCTCGCTTTCAATCCGAACACCGCTTCTCAGCAAATTTGTTTCTCTTCTTTGCTACTAGCTAGTAAATAATGTCAAATTGGCCCACTTGCTTTAATGGAAATTCAATCGTGAAATTAGATGTACCTCAAAACATATTCAAAATCTTATCTTGCAAGCGAAAGATCAGAACCACATATTCCTTGAAAACCAACAGAGTTCTAAAAGCGAAACTCTTAAGTTCTGGAGTTACAGTTAAGTTAATCATAATTCAAAAGAGACTGAGGAGGGGATGATGGTTGTGAGGCCCAGTCGGAGCTAAAAATAATTTTTTTCTTTGATATAATTAATAAATATTATATAGAAAGTCGTACTATTTATTCATAACACATGCACAATATATCTTACTAAAGCATGAGCATTTAGTTAATAATTTCCCCAAAAAAAAAAATCTGGTTGGTGTCTCGTTAGCTTTTTTCTTATGATTATGATATGACATGCTGGTTTTTTTCCTTTTTATATTGTTGGGAGGTCAAGCTATGTATGACTAATTTTTTTTCCTTCCAGTTTTCTCCTTAATTCTAATTGGCAGCTTATTGGAAGAGGGATGAAAGAAATACATCAGCTGTCACTTTAAAAAAAATATCTCAACGAGCTTTCCACATCAGAGAAGAGAGGAACGCATACATTGGTACTAGCCCATCAGATGATTTTTATTAAAATTTAGATATTACCATCAAAATGTACTTCTGAGTTGATATCAAATTTTAAATTTATTGGAGAGAGATTGGGATTCGAAATGCAATCTCCTCATATGAGATTGGATTGTCAGGTTTGGTTCCATGCATTGGGAGAAGTAAATCGTGTGGCCGACGTTCTGACTCGTAAATTCCAAAATGAAACATCAAAATTCATATGGGTGCGGATACTGTCTAGCTTGGTACTCCCCCTGTTTTTATATATAAAAAAAATTATATCATATAATTTAAAAAAATTAATTAATCATAATAATTATATTTAAAAATAAAAAAATTAAACTAAAATGTTCTATACTTATCAATATAAATATACATTAATTATTTTTTATTAATGTATATTATGAGGGGTGATCTAAGAAACGTATAATAAATACTCATTAAAATATGTAATTTTATTTATATAAGAAAAAAGTAAACAAAGATAATTTTTTTATAAATAAAAACAGAGTAATACATGGATATCCATCCTTGAATGAATTGTGGACTTAATTAATACTTAAAAAGGTGATTTCCCGAAGGATGACCGGCGGCTTATGGTTGTGGTGGAAATTAGAACCTATAACATCAACCAACAGTTACTGAATGCTGTTGTTGATATTCTTCCAGAAACAATCAATCAAAGACAGGACCCGAACGGCTTTGGGGCCTCAAAAAATCTGCATAACTTCTTTAAATAATATTTAATACAATGAAGTGATTGGGCAGAGAGAACCCATCGCTGATATTAACGATAGGCAAAAAATATCAACTAGCAAGTGGATGCCGTTGCACGTGTGTGAATATGAATCAGCATGTACCCCAGATTTTTTTTAATAAAATATTTTATTAAAATATACTTCCTCCACTTTAAATTATAAAATATTTTTAAAAAATATAAATATTTCATTAAATAAATATATTTTAATATTATTTTAATTTTTATTTAATGTCTGTCCCTCTTTTTTTTAATATGTTAAATGAAATATATTTTAAAAATTTATATTATTTTAAAAAATAAAATTATTATATATTTAATAAAATTTAATGATATATATGATGATATTCTAAATTGAGACTTTGCAGGTCTGTTGGCGTCTTCCTCTTGTATCCATTTGTCTGCGCAGATTCCCAATGATTGCATTTCCTCCTGATTTCTACCTCTAACTTTTTTTTGTGAAAAATATTAATCAAGCACCGTTAGAAAATAATTATATCAGCTAAAAATTATTTTTAATTAAATCTCACCTTTTAATAAATTAATTACTTATTTTTAAATTAATTTTATTTTTTTATATTTATTATTATTAAATATCTTATAATAAAGATAAATTTACTATCAATAGGAGTACTTTTGAAAAAAAAAGACTAAAAATGTATTATATTTTTACACATTCAACTTCTCAAAAATATCTTTTTTAATTGAAGGAGTATAATTTTTTAAAAAAATTTTAGAGACTTGTCTGTAATTAGTATTTTTGGTAAGATGACTAAAATACCTGAATTGGAATACTAATTGTTTGTTTTGTTTTAGTTATTAGAAGAAATATATAGTTATTATTTAAATTAAAGTAGTCGCAAAAATTTATAACATTTGAATTTCAGTGAATGAAAAATTTGCATAAAAGAAGTTGTGATTGTTTGTTTTGTTTTAGTCATTGCCCAAAAAAAATAATTATTACCTAAATTAAAATAGTCATAAATATTTACAACACTTGAATTTTATTGAATAAAATATTTGCATAGAAAAAATTATGATTATTTATTTTGTTTTAGTTATTAATAAAAGAAAAGCCGTCATAGATATTTATAAGCACTGAAAAAGTTGTGATTGCTTGCGTTCTAATTGCTGCTCAAGCTAAAGTAGTTGTTGATATTTATTTTTATGGGCCAAAGCTATTACTTGTTTCATTTGAAACTGAGGGTATTTTAGTAATTTTATTAAAAATTATTAATGTCAGAAAGATTTATAGGGGCCTAAAAAAATTATGACATTTTGTAGAACCTTATTATCATTTGCATATTTCATGATAATTTTTTTGCCATTTTCTTAAAAAAAAAACAGTTTTTTATATTGCCATTTGGCTGAATTAGGTTGAAGCATTATTGGAATCAATAAAAAATCTCTCTCTCAAAGTTAGCTTTATTTTAGGATGAAAAAACTTACAGCTCTATCCAAGCAGGGCTCTTGGACTGGAGTTTAATTTAGGCATTAGTTAGCTTAGACTTCGGCCCAATCAACAAGAAAATAGTTTGAATTAAAGTCGTTCAACCCACTCAACGTCTTAAAAAAAACTACACACACATTTTAATAGCAAACACGATAGATACTTTTCATCGAATAACCATCAAGTTATTGACAACTCTCTTAATAAAAATTGAAATATTACGTTTGTAATTTCATTTTTATAGGAAAATAAAAAATGTAAGATTTAATTCAAAAGATAACAATGAATACTCTATTTATTTTATTGCCATAATTAGTAATATGATATCATTAAATTAAGGGAAAATAGCAACCAATGATCACGAACCAAAATTTATATTAGTTAAAGATTGATTATTGTAAAAAATTGAATAGATATTTGTTAATTTGGATCAATCTTTTATCAACCAATATTTATTCGAGTTTTAATAATAATTCATTTTAAATTAATAACAATCTATTTGGATTTATTTATTAACAAGTATCTATTCATATTTTAACAATTAATTTTTAATTGATATAAATTTTAGTTATTAGTCATTGATTACTATTCTCACCTAAATCAAATAAATAATTCAATGAATAGATAAGATTAAGTATTAAAAAATGTATTTAGAGAGAGTATAGAGAGCATTTTGATCCATAGCTAGACAAGTCTTCGAAGTTTGAATAGGCAAACTATTTGTATTAATTAAGGCATGAAAACAAACAACAAAGGTGAAGGACATGAATATTATTGAATTGATATCTGTGAATGAGGCAACATCTTAACACACGAGAAACAATTGCTGGGCTTAGAGCTCATCTTTAGGAGAGGACGAATGTGGTGTAGGGTTAGTGGAAGAGTTTTTGATGGGATAGGAAGCCTCCATTGCGATGCCACACAGTCCTTCTTTGTCTGGCACTCCTCTCTCCATCCTTATGTATCCTCCTTCTCCCCATTCTTCTCCCCATGAATTCTTCACTATCCAATATTTGGTCCCATCCACGGTTGTTCCATACCCCACAATTGCTACCCCATGATTCAATTCTGTTGTACAATCTCCGGTAAATACTCCCTGTAATTCATTAAGCTTGTCAGTTTCAACTTCACGTTGAACGTTTTGAAGATGCATGAGAAATATATACCTCTGAATAGAATTGGAAGTCAAAACCTCCAGCGTCAATGGCTACAGATACGGGTTGGTTGCTTACAGCTTTGAGCAGAGCATCCTCGTTATTAGCTGGCACATTTTCGTGCCCATCAATGGAAACTATCATGTCATTCTCCTGCAATATCAGCAAACGTGGCATCCTCAGTTTTCTTATTATTAGTCAAAGGATTTAAATTCTCTGAAGTTGGGATTGATAAAATTATGTGAAGTTTTCTTCCTTTTCTAAATATTTTATCACATTTTGTTATTTTTATAAAATATAAATTTTTCTTTCTCTTTCTTTAAAAAAGGAAAACTTCACAAAAATTTACCAATTCCAACTTTAGATCCTTAGTGTCAATTGTCAAATATATTTTGAGTCAAATTAAGGAAAAACATAGATATGTGCACCTTCGATGTATCACAGGTTCCATCTTCGGCTGTGTAAGGGTAACTATTTTCTGTCGCTAAGCCACCCTTTTTCTTGATATACTCGAAGGCATATTCCATTAGTCCACCATTGCATCCTTGGTTCTCTTCATTATCACAGTCCACTAACTCTTGCTCAGATAAGGGCACTAATTTGTGTGTCTTGATTTGATTAACGCCTTCAACCGCTACTACAGTAGAAAACGCCCAACAACTACCTATACCAATAAAAAGATTCTCATCACGCCCATCGAAAAATAAAAATTTAAAAGCAATTCTTATTGACTATATAAATAAATTTGAATCTATAAGAATGTTTCATACCACATTGGCCTTGATTTTTGACTGGAGTCACTGCACCTTTCTTCCTCCAATCAACAGAAGGAGGAACCCTATCAACATTCTCGTACATGAAGGTTCCATTGCCACGTGGCGTGCCTCGAAACATTCTGTGGTGATTAACCTTTGATCCAGCGTAGGCGTTCCGGAATTCATGGTTGGTCAGGTCTGCAAACTTGTTGAGTTTGAGCTTGTAAGGCTTGTCCATTTTGTTTGTGTTGTGGACGTGCATGACATTGGCTTTGAACACATTGAATCGCTTCTTCTTCTCGTCAAGGCTTCGAGAAACCGTGTGGTGGCTCCTCCATCTCTCGTACAAGTCCCACAAGCTCTCCTCCGACGACAAATCCTTCTCCTGAAAATCAAAGCTCTCAGACACTCCGAGAACCAAGGCAAGTGATAGGGCAACCCACAAGAGCTTCTTCATATCCATAATGCTTTCGATTCAGGAAAAGATGATTAGATGGGCAAAACACAAAGCATGAAGATGTTTTATATAGAGAAATGGGATAAGAGGTGGGAGATGGAGTTAGAGGTTCCTTATGGGAATCAACAATGTGTAATAATTAACAACATGCTAAGGCTTGCACTCCAGAATTATAAGGAAGGATGTGTTCGGTGTAGCTTAATGAAGGAAGCAATTTTCCTGGTTAGAGAAATGAATATTATATCCTTTTATGGCAAATAATAATAGGAAGTTTTGGCCACATGTGAAGCATTGTGTGCTTGAAGAATCATCTTTCGGTGGCATGCATTGCCCACCAAGCTATTACATGAAGCAGCAGGGTAGGCAGAGAAGGGTGACCAGCAAGGTTTCGTCTGGTTTTGAACTGTGATATGTGCTGCAAGAGGAGCATAGCTTTTTCATAATTGTTTTCTCTATAATCAGCTTATCCATTTTTTAAGAGTCTTTATCAATGAAATAGAAACAGTGGATCCGAAAAGTGCATTTAGAACAACAATTCAGTTATAACCGAAGGTTCAAATATTGAGTGGATTCCATTTATTTTACGTTCAGTTTTGCTTTATTTAACATAGAGGACAGAGTGTCATGTCACTCAGTTATGGTTGAGTTATTCAACTTGATTCGATATCTTAAAAATAGAAGTTATTCTCCCTTCTAAGCGCAAGTTTTTTGTGTAAAATATCAAACCCACTGTTTTGGCTTCAAGTTAATTATTTCGATATTCCAAAGAAGGTTATCAGAAGTTGGTGATGATCTAATCTCAAAAGGAGGTCTAGAAATATGGAATTGTGTATTTTTTGGAAGTTCCATTGTGTAGAAGCTATTCTGAGGGAAGATATTAAAGTAATAGTTTAACACTGACACGCATTTGACTGCAGGGCGAAGCCGTTGCTTGTGGTAAAGGATTGTACTAACTTAGAGTGACGCGTTTGGTGCCAGTCGGTGATGCCACTGAGAAATTATAAATTAAAGGAAGTGTGTTAGTAAAGCAATACTTTGCGCCATTGTCTTTTGATTGAAGTACAAGAAGTAGGGTCATGTTATGTTATAGCCAAGGTATTCAGATTCAGGGTTGTCATAGAAAATGTCGAGATGGGTCGCGTGCCTTAGTTGTATTAATCTTTTCAACAGGTGTATCATCTTGCCTCCAATTCTCAAGGATAAGTCCACATTCCGTAGAAAAACCAGCACTTTGCTCGTCGGGTTCTTCAAGTCCAAGTCTTTCCACAAGGTACCATTAATTTAGTATACCACACGACAATTCTCAGTTTCAACTGGACGCGAATTCTTTGCATTTACCATTTGAGCAACCCACTATAACGCTGAACTCTCCTCTGCAAAAGCCTTGTGGCTTTTAGTTTATTTGCTTCTCCACACAATTCTCCATTTCTCTTCTCTTCTTGCCTTCTTTGTTTTTTTTTTTTGTTTTTGTTTGGGAGGGGGGGTTAACTCCACGGATTTCCGGCACTTAATAAAAATATTAAACAAGACACTCTACTGTTATCTTAATGTTATATTAATAATAAAGGAATAGTAGTAAAAATAATTTTAGTATATTGACTCATAGTTCATGCTTTATTGAGAAGATAGAGACCATACTGAGTGATACTTTATTAACAACGAATATCTACAGCATCCCTAATTTGAAGTTTTGAATGGTAGACGCTACGGTGTATGAACCAAGAAGGTTTTTTTTTTTTTTGGGGGGGGGGTTGTGGAAGAATTGAGCCGGCCAGGACAAGAACTGAGCATAGAAGTTAAAAAAACCACATCCTAATGAACGAGTGCATTCACATAAACACGACCCCATCATGTCCAAACGCAGACAACCCCGTTCTTATCAGCTGAAGCGAGGGTTTTTCCAAGTCCACTCCATGTACAACACAATACAGACGAATTGTGTTCTTTCAGAGTACTGACAATATCAGACTTGGATATTGACCAAATATATACAGATCCATCGGCAGATCCAGCAGCCACATAGTTATCATCAGGGCTAATGCACGAGCGGCTCCAATTAGATGCCACTCTGTTTCCTGTGGCTCTCAGTGTGCCACAAACCTCCAGCGTTCGCACATCAAACAAATTATGTAAATTGTCCCTTCCACTTGTCAACACAACATTTCCATTTCGAGAGAAAGATATTGAAGTGACAGCAAGCGAATGTGCAGCAACCTCACTAAGAAGCTTTCCAGACTGAATATCCCATAACCGAAGATTTCCATCAACATGACCAGAAAATATAGTCTGTCCATCCATGCTGAAGCAAAGAGCATTACAGTTGCTGTAAAAGATTATTGTGTTGGTGCAGTAACCTTTCACCAAGTCCCAAACTTTAATAGTTCGATCATATGCGGAACTGACAACATGGCGACTTGAAACCTTGCTGACATCAACAGCACACACTTTATCTGTATGACCAGTAAGGGTATGACGAACCCGGCCTGAGTTGAAATCCCACGCATATAAGTTGTTTGAGCTGCTAGCAGCAATAATAGATTGATTGTCATGGGTAACTGCGAGATCCAAGACAGAACCAAGGCAGCCATAAAGATTAGAACTCAAGGATCCTGTATTAGTGTCCCACACCTTAACTGACCGATCATGTCCCCCAGTAATCAATTTACTAGAGTTGTACACAAACAAAGCGGAGGCACAGCCGCCTTCATGGGCTTGGAGCCTGAATTTGCATGTGGAGGGGTTAATTGACTCTAGAAAGAACTCAGCACCTTCTTCACTTCGACGAACTATGCCATCTACTTGCTGCTTTGCTAGTTTTTCTAAATCACTTGCCTTTAGCCGTTCAACCATGTCTTCATACAGTGCATTTACCTAAGTTGATAAAACAACAAAATAAAATACTCAATTTAGAAGTATTATTACAAGGAAGCATTTAGCACCCTAGCAGCTAGAATTGTAGCACCACAGTTTCGGGATGTGCTACATGAAAGGAACTTATACTACCAGAGTAAATATCAAATTTGTTCACTTATATCAGAAATTGATTTAAGTACATCAGGCAGGGTCAAATTTTGAGTCATCAGATAACATGATCTGAGGTAACATCCCCCCCCCCTTTTTGGCAATCAGTTTGGAGGTAATTGGCAAACAAGTTAACAACAACAGTAGTGGTATAAACCAGAAATAATACAATTATTCTGGGAGAGCCTCATTGCTTGCATACCCTTGATGTACCCACTTTGTTCAACAGGCACATCCCAGTCCCATGTCAAAGCCAAATTCCTTTCCCAAAAAAATTGTACAAATACTAAGCCATCTACTCTCAAAAGAATATACAAGAAATTATACCTCATTCAGGCGTTCAGCATCCTTCATCTTTTCCAGCATCCACCGGTCAACTAACATCTTATTTTCAGCCTCCGTATTCTTGGCTTTAAGAGTCATCTGTTCCAACTGTGCTTTAAGTTCTGTATTCTCACCAATAATCAATTCCAGAGCTTTAATCTTTTCTTCGAAGTCTTTCTTTAATTGAGATCTCTCATCCCTGCAACATTCATTTAAGTTGCAATCAATTGTACAACAATATGTACAGATAAACAAGAACTTCAAAACTATTAAAACACAGAAAGAATATAAATCAACCTCAATTCAGTCAACTCCTTTTGCATATCACAAATTGCAACCTCTCTCTCTTGAGCTGAAGCTTTTGAAGCCCTGGATTCAGCTACTTCGACAACCAGTTGCTCGGACAGTCGAGATTGAGCTTTGTAGCATTGTTGAAGTTCCAACAGTAGATTCTCCGCTTTCTCCTTCCATTCAGAGCCCTTCAAGAACATGTAACGTTTCACTAAATAAGGCATCCCAATTGATGAACTTAACCCAAATCCAAACCACAATCCGAGTAGCTACAATAGCAACAACACCACCAATGACAAATACCGACACATTTATCATTGTCTGGAGACATACGCAAAAGCAACACTGGTTGGGTCAAGGCATCGACAAGAGAAAATGGGGCTATGCAACAGGGATCTAAAGCCAACATCTTGGTACAGAAGAGCTATTGCATGGAAACATCAGTGAATTGAGTTTTGTTTTTTAATTTTTTGTCAATAAACGGATCCTTGCAAGGTCTTTAGTTTTCCCTCCTTTTCTTGGGGGGGGGGGATATTTCTTAACTAGCATTGTTCAGTGGCAACCAGTGATTCGACAAGTCTATACATCGTTATAGGAATAGTATGTATGATCCGAGTATTTCAAGTGGCTAAACTGGAAGTTGAATATTCACAATCATGAATTCGATAAGATGCCAATTAACGAAACCATGAACAAATTTCGGGCACCTGGGAAGCGAAGGGCCTGGAAAGAGCTTCAAAAGCCGGAGTATGAGCGCCTTCTTCAGCTAAATGCCGCTTCCGCAGAGCCTTCAAAGCGTGCTTTATAGCTTCATTTGCAATATCTTCCTGTGATTTACGAGACTTGGCCATTATAGGAAAACAATACACCTGCAACAATAAATATGGAAAAAATATTAGAAACATCAACAAAAAATTTATATAATTTTGATAAGAAATCGACTTTAATCAAGTGGATGCATTGTTCCTGCATATGTTACAGCGCTTTGCATACCCTTTTCCCCTAAGTTCCTACTAACTTCACATGTATATTTGAGGACGCGGTGTTCGGTCTGAACTAACGCGATCAGTAAGGAAAAAGTTAGAATCGCGTCTACCCCAAAGAATCTCGCTACCTCAACAGCTTTGCTTTGGAAAGTCGGGCGTTTACCCTGAAGAGAGATAGCGGACGACCAGATCTCTATCTTTTTTATGGTTTTTGGAACCACCAAATCCCCTCTTCGATTAGCTGGGCTTTGCATGGCTAAATTTCAATTACGGGGCCCCACAAAAGTTTGGGCTAAATTTTTTAGGTCCAAGAGAACTCACTGAACAGTTGTTGGAGAATTAAAACTAAAAAGTGGCCCAAACAAATGCTATGCTCTGTACTAAAATAGAAAAAAGTAATTGCAGCATCAGTGGAGAACCACTATTGGCTGCAAATTGATACACACTGGAAGGGCGTTGAAAGGAACGAACCTGGGAGAAATAAAAACTGCACTTAAGCCTCTGATTTTGATGATTTCAAAATAAATCGTGTAAACATATTTGTAAAAATAAAACTGAAAACTTGAAGGAAAAAAAACAAATCGTGTAAATGCACAATTTGAAGACTACATAATCTTTGGAGGTGGAAAAAAAAAAAAGACCACATAATCAACAGTCGATAAATTAGTATTTTTCAGAATTCAGACACGAAACATCAAATATCTCTAGCAATTCTCTACCTGTCTTTTCTGTGTCTTACAAATACATGAATATTAGATTACTCATAATCTAGCCAATATTTCCCCTCTTGTACTTAGGTGCTCGATTTTATCAAACCAATAAAACACGCTTCATAGTTTATAGCCCAATGCCCAATCAACTTCCATGCATCAATGAGGTTTCACAATAACTTCCAAACACACCCAATTTATCGTCTTGTTTCAGCTTGGAAAGAGAAGGGGGGAAAAAATACAGGCCATGGTTCTCAATCATTTATCAAAGAAAAAGCTACAAAATATTGTAGAAGTACCTATCCATGTTAACCCTTTTCCTTCAAACTTTTTGATGGCCAAACACTCCAAACCTCCCGCTGTTTTAGACATTCGAAGAAGAGAAGAAAATTTAATCCCAACAAACACCACACATGACGACGGATGACAGAGAGAGAAAAAGAACAGCCGAAGACCAGACACACACCACAGCACGGGTAACCAAGGAGCAGAGGAAATGCATTTGAGAAAGAAAAAGAAGATTCGAGAGAGGGAGAGAAAGGTGGCATGTTAAAATTTCTCTCATTCTCGTTCACACACACACACATATAATTATATTGCGCCCCATGATTAGAGAGGATGTGAGGGTTTTTTTTTTTTTGCCCCCTTTTTATTCGATGAAATCCCCCCCCCCCCTTTCTTCCGTTCATTGACAAAAAAAAAAAAAAAAAACTAGAGGTAGGGATATTTTAGTAATTTTAAGTGTTGGAATAAGGAAAAATGCTGAATAGGTCAATGTAGAATTTAAATCCAAGACTTGATGAAAGATATAAGATGCATTCTTAAGATGCATTCTCCGATATATTAGAATTTATTTTCTTGTTGCCAAAAAAAGAATTTCTCATCTTGTTTTCTTTAACGTATAATTTTAAATACAGATATGAAATAAGCAATTTTATTGTCTTTTATTCCTACTATACTTTGTTTTATGTTTTTTAATGACTCACTTGGTCAATTAATTATCTATTGTTTATTTAGAGAATCTTTAATTTCTTGGGTCATTACACAATAATCAATAACTTGATAAATGATGTACTTTTACCGAATTATTCTCATGCAAAAGTGCTACTGTTTGGGACTAGTTGATGTCGTAAATATATCATAATTTGGTATGGCTTGAGAGAAGAAAAAAAAAATGGTGCATTTAAAACCCATATATCGATTGCTTGTTGAGTACAATTAAATTTTTTTAATTAATTGTTGATTGATATTATAAAAGTGATAGTCTAAGTGAAACAAATAATTTTGGTAAAATGTTAATTAAAAGTGAATTGAGGGAGTGCGATCTAATTTAGCATTCCTCTTCTAAGATTGTTGCCTTCCATAAAGCATCCATCGAGGATGAAATTGGGCAATGTTCAGTCTTCTATTCGTTGACGCTCTCAAATAATTGACGAAGAAAATATAAAATCCCCATCAATACGCGAGGGGTAACTTCCTCGTTGGCAATCTAAATAAAAGTAAAAGCTCCGAAACACAAATGGCTAAGAGAAATGCAAATAGCAAGGTATAAAAGCATCGATGAACATATTTCATCAGGAAATTCATTTTCTTTCTTCGAATAAAATAACGTTAGAGAGTGACTTAAATTGGGGAAAAACACTAAAGATAACAACTTCCAACATCTCGAAATATACATGAACATTAAAATAAACTGCAACAACATACACAAATCCTGCAAACCATAAGTTAAACACCCCCCCAAACGGCATGTAAGTAACTGTATATGTATCCTTCATACCTTTCCCCTTCAATGTATAAACCTCGTCAACAATCTTCCATTGATATAGGACGTTCAGCCAGCTCGAATTCTTTCCCGCCAATCAATGCTCTTCCAAGCCCTCTCAAGCTGAATGTCGATGCTTCTCCTGGACTTGTCATGGTGCTCAACATTTTTTCTTGATCTCTCCGACTGGTCAAAAGACATCCTTACCTTATCAAATTTTTCGCCACTGTTAAATTTATGTTCATGGTGTTTCAGTTTTTCCGTCCTATCAGTGCTTTTCCTCGGTCTGTCCCTCTGCTCAGTACTCTTCCTCGGAGCTTCAAAACAATCCGTACTTCTTCTTGGTTGCTCAGCTCTATCCTTGCCTCGCCACAAGTTTGGTCTCTGTGATGGTGGTTTTTCTACTACTGAAACAAATTTTCTGAGATGTCTGAGGTATTCTGGATAGAGTTCCAAATTACAGTGGCTTCCTCCTTTGAGCCATAAAGGTTCATATTTCTCTTGACATAGCTCCCACAACTGCTTGCCATGAGAGCAATCAACCACCTCATCAGCAGTCCCCTGAATAAAGCATTAGGATAACCTCATCAGTTAAGCCATAGGAATCTAAATCTACATCTATATATCATAATACATGTTTAAATAGCTTATGACAAGCTGCACTGTTTCTCAAGTTCCTTGCAATGCATGAGGCCCTATTTAGTTGATCTCGAACAAACAATAACCAGAAATAAGCGATTTATGTGAATTCAAGTCACAACTACACTCGAGAAATTATCTAAGAAGTTCATCTCAGCAAACATAGGCTTATGTCTGTCCAACATTGATTTGGTGCAACTAAAGCCTGCTCCAATAAACAAGCTCCCGGATGTATTGTTAGTTATCAGGCTAGGATGCCTTGTTCTTCACTTACCAAGTAGTCACACCAGAACAAAACCTATAGTGGCAGCACTCACCAGTATAACCTCAGGACTAAATGAACACCAGTTACAACAATTCCAAAATTTTGACATCTAGATCATAAAAACTAGTCAGTGGAAAATCCAACAAAGAGAAAGTGGAGTACTTACATGAATTATTAGCACAGGACACTTCACCAACGGAATTTTATCAATGTTCTGCACAAGAGTCAAAACTAGATTCAGACACATAATAACACGTAGAAACAAATTTAGAATCGTGTGAGATCAAGCACAAATAAGAATGAAAGGAATCTGACCTTATATATGTCAAACCAGTATGTGCGCTTTACAGGGTACATGACTCTCAACCCTGATAGTATTGGACTGTGGAGAACAACAGCCCTTAGGTGGGGTAAACGGGCAGCAAGGTCTGAAGTAGGGCCACTTCCAACTGATTGACCATAAAGGATTATATCTTCCTGTTTGGCACCATAGTTCTCTTCAAGACACTTGTATGCAGCTTCAATGTCAGCATATGTGTTATGCTCACTTGGCTGTGGAAGAAGAAATGCATTAACCTTTTTTAGGGTACACTTGCATGGTGGAATATAAGATGAATCAAATGTACCACAAAGAAATATATAAAGTTGTTACCTTTCCTGATGACTGTCCATAGCCAGAGTAATCATATCTGCAAACATTGAACCATGGCGTTTTAGAACATCTAAATCATCAGCTTGGTAGGTAAGCATTTCCTTTAAAAATTACAGAATTATCATATGATAAGCAAGTATAGTCTTTCAACTTGCATATAAAATGGTCAGTAAAGGGTCTTTATGATTAATTTTTCAGGGTGTCAGAGCAGGGATGAGTAATCTGAAAAGTACAGTCTAAAACATGGATGTTGAATATGCAGCATCAACGCCACTTGAGGCATTTGTCTGCCTCAGCAGAACATTTTCTAATTCAGAGAGAGGGAAATTTACTATTTAGGAAAACTGAAATAAGAAATAAAGCCAAATGGAGTGTTTGCATCTAAAATATTTGGACACATGTCATTGACTGCAGAAGCAATCAACTGGGGTGTATAATTCCACGTATCATGATGAGGTATATATGGTGCTTCTGTAGGTTACAAAAAACCATAAATTGGATGCTGAATTAGTTGGAGTCTAACGTGGCCTTGGATACCAGATGGTTCCATGGTATTTCACCAAAAAATACAATAAATTGGATGTAAGCTGCCAAACCAGTCAAATCTAACTCAGTTCGTTACGAGTAATTCATTATTGTTAAAAATAGAGCTCAAAATCATAACTTTGGCCGGATCATAGACGACATAACCAGGTGTGCTTCATATGTGGTGCTATTCTGGGTTATAAAAAAAAAAAAAAAAAAATTGGATGAACTCTGTCAAACCAATCAAATCTAACTCGAAGCTTGTTATGCTTAATTCATTAGCGTTAGAAATAGAGCCTAAAATGATAACTTTTGGCATTTAAGGACAAAATCTCATGTGCTTATTTCTGAAGGGAAAATCTGCACAAAGCTTAAAAGCTTAAATGATTGTGTAATGACTGCATATTTCAGATTCTAACTAGGCTCTAACTATATTTTATGAGCAAATTTCCAACTAGGTTGACAATTAATACACTTAGCAGGCATATTGTTTATTGTGTAAATTATTTTAATAAAAAAAAAATGACATTTCCAGTCACACATTAGATTATTATCTTCCAATCAAGCAATAACCACAGAAAGGATACGGCTGGCCTCATAAATATTAAGGCAAACCAGATCTACACAAAG